GGGGGCGGTGGTATTTGGAGGATTTGAGGCACAAAAGAACCTTAATTATTTTCCCAGTTTACTCTTACGACATTTAAATGCAGTAACAGGACTAGTGCTACACACTATTTGACTCCTTTTTTTTCTGTCTTTGTAGACTTGACTGTGAAGCGCACCAGGAAGTATGAAGGCAGACCAGCAATAGCAAAAACAGTCATAGAAAAAAAGTAAACGTTGCCAATACCCCAGGACAAAGTATTAGTTCTCTAAATCTCTGTTGTACCTTCTGCACTGGTAAATGACACGCAATCTGTTTGTATGAATAATGTATTTTGTGTGTCAGCACACCTGATTTTTATTCATATACTTGTTATGATGGTCTGAAAGTTGTTAATAAACGAACTCCTTGTAAATTTCTATGTTGTCAGACTAAAAATAGTAAGTCAACAAGGTCATCAAGCTGTCCTTTTTAGCTTTTTGGTGTATCAGCTAACATGAGTTTTTTTCATGCTTCTCTGGGAACGCTGGGCCAGGCATCCCCGGATCAGTAAACGCAGAAACATTTGTAGAGGTGGCACTCGGAGAGGACTGTTTCCCGATTTATTCTGTATATCTGACCAGCCACTGCAACCAGTTAAGGAACTGTACTGAGCTCATTGATGGAAATTACCATTGATTGATAGAAATTCTCTGTAGTCAAGATAATTAATGGTTATGAGGTAGGTGTCTTGCTTTTCATTATACTCTTTTGAGAATGGTTTTTACAAGTTAGTATCATAAACTATCCACTGGCTCCTCTCACAAGGGCAGATGAGGACTAGTCCTTTTTTTTTGTAAATAAAAATAAACAATGACCTTCCCTTTGCAACTGAAAAGACAAAGGAAGCAGAAAAATTTGTATCTGAATTTAAAGCTTGGCAAAGAAGTAGCAGATGAGCAGTGGCTGGACAGAAATGAGATAAAGGGATGTTATAAATAATACTTTATAGAAATGTTAGCTGTAGCATGGATGTGAAATATAAAATATCATGGAGGACTGTAGCGAAGAGACTGTCAGGGCTCTAGTCAGAAGAGGGACGTGGTAAGTGTAGACACTTTAAAAAAAAATAACTTGGTAACAGTCTGTCAGCATTTTCTTGTGAGCAATTCTGACGTTTGTTTAAACCTTGTACCTGGACATAATACACTTTCATGGGCTCCAGCTCATTCTGAGTGTGGAATAATTGCAGATTTTACTCAGTGGCACATGGTTTTATTCTCCCTGATCAAAAGCTCCTTTAACCTTTTGTTTGAGGAGAGATTTGAGGTGGGATGATGACTCCAACCAGGGATTTCAGTGAAGTGCACATCAGTAGAGGAAGTGAGACATTACTGCAGGTAAGTAAGTGACTCATAAGCTGCTATAATGAATAGATCGATAAACCTTTGATGAGTCACAGCTTGGAAGTGACATACAGAAAAGCTCAGTGATGGCCCGAATGACAATTGTTTCAGCTGAATACCGTATCTGATCTCCTGCTGTTGAAAGGAGACTAGTTTTCTGCTAGGGAATGCTAAGAAATACTTGCTTTTTATTCTTCATTTAATTATCTTTTGTCTACTTTAATATCAGCCACTTCAAGAAGCTGAGGAATATGGGATGGATGATGAGAAAGAGAAAGAAATAGATTAATTACTTTCTGCCTGGCAGGTGAAGCTGATCATCTACTGGCTGTGACTCGCTACCTCTCATTATTTAAAACTGTACACCTGGCTACTTCTGGTGCTGGGCTTGTGGATACTGTGGGAACTGAAAAATCATGCTGGATAAGCAATAGCTCTCTGACCATGAGAAGGTGCACAGGTATGGTACCTACAGAGGGGCAGAACTTTTCCTCTGCCACAGGTCCCAGTAAGATTGCTTCCAAGCAGTAGCGTCTCCGCAATGTAAAAACGATGTTTACCAATTTACGAAGCATAGTAGGTTCGCTTGGAAGGTAAAAAAACCAAAATTAGTTCTTATTACACATTGGGGTTTTTTACCTGTTTGTATTTGATACTCACGGTGCATGTTTTGGCCCTTGACGCGGGAACTCTCTGGTGAAAGAAAGGGAGGGAAATTTTTATGTAAGTATGTGCTCCCTAGATGACCTCCAGAGGTCCCTTCCAATCTCAATGATTCTGTGGTTCTGTTCATTGCAGTCCTGATGCAGTGTCACTGCCTTCGCTGCAGTTCCTGGGCGGAGAAAGGACTTTTAGACCCTTAGTACAAAATTTGGTTTGCTTTTTCAGAAAGGTACTGAAAAAATCCCAATTAAGCTGCATCTGAGCGTGTTTCATGTAAGCAGTGCCGTACTGCCCATAGTCCAGAAATTCCAACTGTGACAAGATGTTTTGAAAGTCACGGATATTTTTACAGGAGAGTTCTGAATGTGTACCTTTTAATTAAATTTTGTACACAAAGCACAGCTTTATAGCTTTCAGGTGCCACACAGGACCTCCCAATCTTACATACATTCCACTAGCAATTGTGTCAACAGCCTCCAACTGTAGCGTTCCTGTGTGGCAGGGGTCCTCACCTGCGTTAGCGGGATAAAGCACCCCTGCAGAAGCTGATCCTATTTAGTGCTCGTTTCTCATCGCTGCCTTCCCCCTGCAGGATATTGTAGCCGGGCAACTATAAAACAGGCTGGAAATAAATGGTGGGGTCGGATGTAGGCACAGCTCGTGTCAATGCCTAGTTAGTACTAGTTCAGGTACCGATGCTTGTCTGAGCCACTTCTGGTATTTCAACACTGCCCTGCAAAGCAGCCCAGTACTGTGTGGACTCTTCTTTCCTGCAGCTATGGAAGATTGGATTCAGAGGAATGAAAGGTACTTTTATAACTATATTCCTTAAAAATAGGAGATGCGGACCACTGGTGTATAGCAGGGAATGGCTAACTATTACAGCTTATTGTTTTAAGCAAGGCAGTTTGCATTTGGTCTTGCTTGCTGTCTACTTCAAACTCTCGCTTAATTCAGTTATGACTCCACTGGATACCTCTGAGGATGACAGAAAACAGGCATACTGAGAACAGTTTGTGTGCTGTTTTGTTTCCTCTGTTCAAGTACATACATGATAAATGCGTGCGAGCAGTTTAAAGCGTAAGTTTTGGATCCAGAAAGAGCAGGAGGGCACGGTTCAGGCTTTCAGAGAGACCCTGCTTTCACCCGAACTATGAAAGCAACAAAGCTTTTGTTGTTGGTCATAGCACTGCTTTTCAGCATTCAATACAATAGTTTTAAATTGTTAAATGCCTTTATTTTGAAGGGGAGAAATACTATCGTTCAGGAAGAGCAAGTCTTAACAGAGATCTTGGTAATAATTCTCTTGCTTCAGGTGCAGGGCTTGGACGAGTGAGCTCCAGAGGTCCTCTCAAATTTAGATTCCGTGAAATAAAAAAGCTTCAGATTTATTCAACAAATAAGTCAGCTGAAAGTCAGCTCACCACATCAAACTCAAAGATAAAAGAAACTAATGGAGCAAAGCACAAACACTTGCTAGTCTTGAGGGAAAAATCCTTTAGAAGTCCAGAACTCGGAAGCATGAAACATTTTATATGTTAATGTAAATAAGTTTGATCTGCAGTAAATAGTTTTAAAATACCTTTAATTTTTTTTTACCAAAGTTAGGATCAGCAACAGTGGGCCCCATTGATAGCATGCTCTTTTTTCTCCTGTTAGAAACAGCCCAGGTAAGTTGGTACAGCCTGTCTGAACTTCATGGTGAGGAAGAAAGCATCTTCCATTTAGGAATAAAGCTCTGCTATCTGTAACTAAAGAACTCGGATTGCAGACCAGCAGGCACAAAGACTAGGATATCACTTTACAGACTCTAAAGCCAAGGGTGTTTTGAGTTCTCAAAGTGATGGTATGAAGGCTATAGGCTGAAGCAGAGGCAGCGTTAAATGTGTGCAGTTCCTCATTTGCCTTGAGAAGAGGGCAGGGATTTAGTGAACAGCTAAAGATCTCTAGTCGTAACCTCACAGTCCTGTAGAGGGGAAGTGAACTCTGCTGTAAAGGAGCTACATTCCTTTCCTGTTAAGTCACTGTCACTCACTCCCGGGAGATTTTTACAGGGCTGTTAGATTAAATCCCATGGAAAAGAACAAACCCAAACTGCAACAGACAGCAGTTCTGCATTACCCTTAACACAGGCAAAGGCGATGCTGATTTGGGAATCATTTCTGTGGCATCTGATCTTTTAGAATGGTAGGCAGCGTAACAAATGAGACAGGATCTTCTCCATACCTTTAAGAAAAAAATATTTATTTATAAAAATACACTGGGATCAGTTTGAGAAGTGTGGCAATAAATACAGTTCAAGGAAGAAAAAGCATTTCTACATGGATATATTATGGCACAATAAAAGGTAAATGCACCATCAATCATGGGACTTCTGTTGGCTCAAGACTTTGTACAAGCTCCCTTTTTAGTAAGAAAACTATTTCTAAGTTTGGTCAGTGTTGATAATGGAATGAATACACAATCACAAATGCACACTTATGTCTAATGCAGGACTTACCATTAGCAAACAATACCTTAGAAACATAGTAATGATATTTAAATCACTAATGTGATGTCTTAGATTTAATTGGCAAAGACCACATTTAACTTTAAGCATGAAGTTCTTTTATCTCATCTGGAAAACAGAAAAGCTGTAAATATGTAAAACGAAGGCTTAATGTGGTATGTAAATACCTACTTAAGTAGAGATTGTGAAAATGCATAGCTCCTTATTAAGACGACCTGGCTGTACAAGAGCACTCCCCCTTTCACAGTATTCCTTTTACTTCATATGCAGTTACTGTTTATGCTGTAGACTACAACTGTTACAGCACTAAAGGCAACTAGACAGGGAAAGGGCAGAGAAAGGAAAAAGGAATGTATGTAAGGCAGTATTTCTTTAGGTACATTAAGCATAGTGTGTAGGAAAGACAGTAACAATTCCACAAGGCTAGTTTCGTTCTTACTGAATAAAATAATGGACTAATACTGAACTTTTGATGCAAAGCTAGTAATCAATGCCCTGGTCACTGTACTGACCATGGTAATCTCTTTGATAGTCATCTTGGTACTCTCCGTGATAGTCATCGGGGTATTCTGCCTGATAATCGCTATCGCTGATTTCTGACCCATTAGTTCCTGTTCCTTGGCTGCCGTTATGAATGACAGGTTCTGTTGGTGCAGCACAGTACTTGGGGTCATAC